TGGAAAGCCGCTGCCAGCGAAGATTGTCCACAAGCGCCCTTCCGCTGCGCCTGGGCGAGGGGCCGTCGTGCCGAAGGAGGTTCCGTGGCGAGAGGGGTCAGCGCTCGGCTCGCCTGGCGTCTCTCGCCATCCCTCCGCCCAACGGCCCCAAAGAGAGACCCAAAGGCTCCTCTGGGATCCACTGCTCGATCCTAGGGTAGTAATTTTAAAGCCCTGCTGTATACACACTACTTCGTGCGCCGCCATTTTAAGGAAAAGAGGAAATCCTCAGTCTAAAGGCGTAGAGGTTGAAACGGGGGACACAGGAAAGCTTTATTGCCTTTTGAGATAGATAGGTGTTGTCATCATAATTTACCTGATAAGTCTAAAGAGCCCGCTAAGAGGAAATAATGAAAGGCAGAAAGCTAGAATGTTTTTGGTCATGCGCTACAATGAAGGGTGAGGAGTATATATCCTGGAATTGCTCCTTGCTGGTAAAATACTGTAGATGGAAATGTGCAAGGAAGGGAAGAGCTGATGGAATGGAAAAGTTGGGGGGCTGCTCTGGGTACAACCCCATTGTTTGGATGTTCTGTATCCAACCAAAGTTAGGAAGGCCAAGGTCCCGTCCAATAGGAAGGAGCTAGTTCCTTATTTATGACTCATGATTCTTATTGCCTAAAAGTAGTAGAGGAGGTCCCACCATAGCCTAGTTTTCTGTCCTGTTGCCTCCCTAACTGTTCAGGGGCTGTGCCATTTAGACATGGCGCTGGGGCATCCCTCCCCTTCCAGACACTGGTGTACTAGAACTGGCCTTTCTGGCCTTTGGCTATAGTAAGTGAGGGGCTCGTGGGACTTGCGGTCCATTGGCCATCTGGTGAGCCATATGTTTTCATTCCTGCTTTACAATTCCATGAGAAATCCTAGAAAAGTCTTCATGCATGGCAAAACTTCAAATAGAGCAAAAGATTTTGTACAGCCCCTACTGTATGTGCCAACAAGATAATGTGGACTTTTCAACAGGCCTGGGCTGATACGAATTACGGCTACATGACCTTCAAGCTCATTTGGAGAAGCTCTTGGTGGTACCATACAGTTCTCAGGTTTATTCTGCAATCATCCATAGCAGGACATTTAATGTGGTGTCACTACATGAAATGTGCTTCCCTCACAGATTCAACATGCTTCTACAACTTTTAATTCCAGATGCACATTGAACATACCTATACAGTATGTACAGATATTTCCTGCGTAGCCTAATGTACCATACATCTCATGGGCCACATAAATGTTGTATGTCAATCTGTAAGTGCCATGTTATTGTATACCTTAAAATGCTCGAATCTCCACCATTTACAAGTACTCATAAATAAATCCTGTAGGCCTAAGAGCTTACAGAGGCACAGATTCTGATTGTGACAACATTGCTTCAAGGAAGGGGAACAACTGCTCCATATCAGACAGGAAAGTTCCGCTCCCAATTGTTAAAATCTTGTTGCTTAGTGTAGTGAGTTATAACTAGAATAGGCCCACTGAATCAGTAGAGATCAGTTGAGTCATCTCTTCCATAAGTTTCAACAGGATTTCAAGCCTTTGAGATGTAGAAGGGTAAGTAACTGCATTGCAAATGAATGTGGACAGGCTTTTTGCCCTCAGAGTAAATGAAACCACTGTTCCCCCACTTAAACAAAGATACACTGGAGAATAAAGAAATGTAAACAGAGGAGTGTAAATTGTTCCTTTCTAAACACCATTCTGTCACCAAGTCTTGCTACAGACAGCCTCCTGTAGGCCCCTTCATCTCTAAGCAGAAACTAAGTGGTTCAAGCCTTTGAGATGTAGAAGGGTAAGTAACTGCATTGCAAATGAATGTGGACAGGCTTTTTGCCCTCAGAGTAAATGAAACCACTGTTCCCCCACTTAAACAAAGATACACTGGAGAATAAAGAAATGTAAACAGAGGAGTGTAAATTGTTCCTTTCTAAACACCATTTTGTCACCAAGTCTTGCTACAGACAGCCTTCTGTAGGCCCCTTTCTTTCATCTCTAGGCAGAAACTAAGTGGAATCATAGTATCTGACTTTTGATTAGCCTCTTTGCTGTCATCAATTGTTTTTCTCTGCATCAGTGCAGCCACTTCCAGAGGCCATCAGCTATTTTCCACACCTCTCATCATAGCAGATGATACTGTGCTTTAGGAGTTAAAATTTCTGTTGTTGTTTAGTTGTTATGTCGTGTACGACTCAGTGACCCCATGGACCACAGCATGCCAGGTCCTCCTGTCTTTCACTGCCTCCCGGAGTTTGGTCAAATTCATGTTGGTTGCTTCAGTGACACTGTCCAGCCATCTCGTCCTCTGTTGTCCCCTTCTCCACTTGCCCTCACTCTTTCCCAACATCAGGGTCTTTCCCAGGGAGATTTCTCTTCTCGTGAGATGGCCAAAGTATTGAAGCCTCAGCTTCAGGATCTGTCCTTCCAGTGAGCACTCAGGGTTGATTTCCTTCAGAACGGATAGGTTTTATTCTTTGCAGTCCAAGGAACTCTCAAGAGTCTTCTCCAGCACCACAATTCAAAAGCATCAGTTCTTCGGCAGTCAGCCTTCTTTATGGTCCAGCTCTCACTTCTATACAACAGTACTGGAAAAACCATAGCTTTGGCTATGTGGACCTTTGTCAGCAAGGTGATGCTTCTGCTTTTAAAGATGCTGTCGAGGTTTGTCATCGCATTTCTCCCAAGAAGCAGGTGTTTTTTAATTTCATGCCTGCTGTCCCCATCTGCAGTGATCATGGAGCCCAAGAATGTAAAATTTGTCACTGCCTCCATATCTTCCCCTTCTATTTGCCAGGAGGTGATGGGAACAGTGGCCATGATCTTAGTTTTTTGATGTTGAGCTTCAGACCATTTTTTGCACTGCCCTTTCACCCTTAAGAGGTTCCTTAATTCCTCCTCACTTTCTGCCATCAGAGTGGTATCATCTGCATATCTGAGGTTGATATTTCTTCCGGCAGTCTTAATTCCGGCTTGGGATTCACCCAGTCCTGCCTGATGTATTCTGCATGTAAGTTAAATAAGCAGGGAGACAATATACAGTCTTGTTGTACTCCTTTCCCAATTTTGAACCAATCAGTTGTTCCATATCCAGTTCTGTTGCTTCCTGTCCCCCATATAGATTTCTCAAGAGATAGATAAGGTGGTCAGGCTCTACCATTTCTTTAAGAACTTGCCATAGTTTGCTGTGGTCCACACAGTCAAAGGCTTTTGTGTAGTCAATGAAGCAGAAGTAGACGTTTTTCTGGAACTCTCTGGCTTTCTCCATAATCCAGTGCATGTTAGCAATTTGGTTTCTAGTTCCTCTGCCCCTTCGAAATCCAGCCTGTACTTCTGGGAGTTCTCTGTCCACATACTGCTGAAACCTGCCTTGTAGGATTTTGAGCATTACCTTGAAAGCGTGTGAAATGAGTGCAAATGTATGTTAAAAATTAGATGGCTGCTAATATTACCGCAGCGTGGTGGTTGCAGGTTAAACTGCAGAAGCCTCTGTGCTGAAAGGTCAGAGGATGAGCAGTCGTAGGATTGAATCCACGCAACGGAGTGAGCTCCCGTCGCTTGTCCCAGCTCCTGCCAACCTAGCAGTTCAAAAGCATGTAGAAATGCAAGAAAATGGTACCACCTCGGTGAGAAGGTAACAGCGTTCCATGTCTAGGCGCGCTGGCCACATGACCATGGAAATTGTCTTCAAACACTGGGTCTATGGCTTGGAAACGGAGATGAGCACCGCGCCCTAGAGTGGGACATGACTGGACTAAATGTCAAGGTGAACCTCTAGATTGATGTTCTTTAACGGACAATACATAAATTCTTCCTTGTAACATTCTTATTTTTAGGGGGAACACCATTTTTATTAGTCAGTGTACAGAAGAGCTTAATATTTGCATAGTGTCAGATACAGGGAGAAAATGCTGGGGGAAAACTGGGTAGAACAAAAAAGAGTCTCAACTGGCATCACCTTGCCTGTGATTGCTATTTCACAGTTATCTTTTCTTTGTAAGCTGTCCATAAGCAACACTTTAGATCAATATAATATCTTACTAGACACAGGAATAGATGCTGTCCTTCTGTGGATTGCTTCCTCTGCTTCCATTCATTCCTTTAACCAAAGCCAGGGAATCAGCTGGGAGATAAATAATTAAACTGTCACAGGCCATGTGGCGTTCCTGTTTCCAGTCTCTTGGAAATCCCAATTTTTTTGAAGCAACAAATTCAACCTACTTCACCACTGTACCAAGTTTCACTTTTTCTGATGCAGAAATCAAGGATGAAAAAAGAAAGCAGTGACAAATCTGTACTTGTGTGCCAAATTTCAAAAGCCAGGCCCCCTTTTACGTATGTCTTCTTACCTGTATTCACTGCATGTGTGTGCCTCTAGTAACTTTTCCTAAATGCAAAATAGTCATACAGATGTGCAATCACACAGACTGTAGTAGTACATCAAATATTTATTCCCACTCATGAGACAATCATGTTTCTCCTGTCAGCAAGAAGCCACTGAAATGACTGCAGGATATTTATCTCAGGTGCAAAATGTCTGCATGCTATTTATGCAAACATCAGCTTTATCCATCTTTGACAGTGGGTAAACCATTTAATCCCACTCAACTAAAAACCAGCATTACAAAATATTTACAGAAAGCCACCAAAACAGAAAATACAAACCTGATGCACAGGTATGTATGTGTTCACGAGTTTATTCTTCCCATTAACTAAAAAAATACTCAAGGACACAAAAGATTTTCCATGGGAGCACAGACACAACTGAGTCTTGCTAGACCTTTGTTAGATGGTAGACAGACAACTGTGTTCCTTTTCCACTCTACAGAGGGCTCGCCCCCCAACTCTGATCACAAGTTAAGAGGAATGGGGGAACTATTACTTGTTAGGAAAGAAGTTCTTCAACTGGATGCCACTACAACATGGAAACCCTGTCCCTAACATAGTAGTCTGCTCTCATCATCACAGAGGATATAAACGTTAACTTGAAACAGTTGTCACAGAAGCCCCTCCATTTCTTTCATGAATGCTTCATACACATCATCCTTGGTCTGTACAGAAACCGGGGCAGATGAGCCAGCTTTAGGAGTTGCTTTGGTTATCTGAACAGAAGGCTCATCATCAGGTTTCTTCTGGATGGAGGCAGATGTCCCCTTGTTCTCTCGGCGGACCCGCAGGGCCGTGGGCACAAAACGGGTGATCTCAGCCTTTGGGTTGGTGATCTGGGGCTTGGCACTGATTGTTGCTGTGGCCTTCTTCTCAATAGTGGCTGCACTAGTATCATCCACCTTGGGACGCTGGATCAAGCTGGGGGGAGCACTCAGGACCCCAGGATTTGGAATGGGAGCAGGTGGGAATAAGCCTGGGGGAGGTACCAAAGGAGGGCGCAACATGCCTGGACGAGGAGGAGGGATACCTGCAGGAAGAGAAAGGAATTATCCCTCTGACATTTGTTTAAGATCAAGGAAGGAGGCAAAAAATTTATAGGTCAGCACAATATATAGCATTAGCTCATCTATACCAACTGTGTACACACTTTATCTTAAGTTTATATGAAATTCCAGCAGATCAAATGATAAAACCTTCAATCATTTGAGATAACAGACTATTCAACTTTCATGCTAGAATCAGCAGAGACAGTAAAAATACCACGTACTTTCGAGATTCAATACAGTATGTAGCTAAGTATGATTTTTCTGCAGGACTTAATATGAAAATAATTGCTGCTGGACTAATACAAGTCTTCTGCTCTTGTCCTCTAGGTGAAAATAACACTAGAAGAACAAGGAATACCCACTGCTAAGTGATCTAAGTACCTGGAGGGGCTGGAGGTGGTAAACGAGGTGGGGGTCCCCTTGGAGGAGGGCCTGGCGGCAGACCTGGAGGTGGACCAGGTGGAGGGCCAGGAGGGCGGCCAGGGGGAGGTCCAGGTGGCAGGAGTCGTGGTAAAGGCCCACGTAGTCCAGGCAATCCAGGTGGCCTGAGGAATGGAGGAGCCCCTGAAAACAATGACAGTCATTTTATTTCTGAAATTGGTGATACTCCAGTGTGCTCTTGCAGTTCCTTGCTTAGCTAGAAAAAAAAGAGGTGAGGAAATTATGTTTCAAATATACCTTGATTTAAGACAAGCTTGGCGACTAAGTTTTAAATGAAAATATTGTGCTTTCTCCTTCAAATTCTCATACATAAAAGCTGGAGGAGCAGGAAACATCCACCCAGTCCAAAGCTTTGTCGTCAATCTTACAATCTATCTTAAGAACGAACACTGAATGTCAGCCTCAAGAGAAAGAATATTATTTATTCTTTCAACATTCATATACAGTTAAAGGAAAGCCTCTGCTGCTATTTTAATGTCATTTTACTACGTTATTTTCATAATTTCAAAGCTGGGATACCACAGCAAAACAATGCCAAGTCTCTTTACAATAAAATTATTAGTATGCACCATGTTGATTCCAGTTTATGGGAACCCTCCAAGAAATTACTAGCTATAAAGTACCCAGAAGTACCAGTCCCTCTCTGGTTGTGTTCTAGGACTGTGCTACTTGTTCACAGCTCGACACACGGCGGGGCACATAATCTCTCAGTCACACACACTCTGGGTGATCTCAGCTGGTCCCTCATCAGAGAAGCACAATGGAGACAGACTTCTCACCTCCAGACATTATGACCCACTAAGCTATATGAACACCCTGAGGTTCTTCACACTTGATCAAATGCTTACCTGGGGGTGGCCCAGGAGGAAGGCCAGTAGGTGGTCCTGGAGGCCGCAAAGGTGGTGCAGGAGGAGGTCCAAGAGGTGGCGGTCCAGGCATGGGAGGTGCCTGTATTTGAGTTGGAGGAACAGGTTCCCCGGGTGGGGGCTGCTGCTGTGGCTGTGGCTGTTGCTGCGCTGATTGAGATGGTGTTGATGATGCAGTCTCTGCATGGGACTCCTCTGTGCGTTGTTTCTGTGATGCCTCTTCAGAATCAGAATCGTCGTCGTCGTCGTCATCCTCTTCTTCAGAATATTCTTCTACCTCTTTGCCTCCTTCAGGAATTTCCTGGCCTAACGAGAAACAATACAGGCTCTGCCTTTATAATACTTAGAGGCTTCAAAGTATATATAGCAGTCCAACAACAGAACAAACTTACAGGATTAATAAATCTAACTGAGATGCACAGTAAAGGATTTTTCCAAGAGTGTGTTATTCAGGAAATTCAAAACTCA